AAAGGAATGAAAGTGCAGAATAGTTAAGAGGAGCTAAATTGCCTGAACTCTGTCTTGCATTTTGGCCATTCGAATATGAAGCTGTGAGCCCCCTTTGTCTGTTGTGACCTGTGGTGCAATGCATGCTGATTTCAGTTTGGTCTCCTGTGTGTCTGTGCTAGTGCAGAGTTTTCGTGCGTAGCATGAGTGGTGAGGGAAGAGAAGAGACAAGCTAAAAGAGGCGGGATGGGCAGAAGCTCAGTCGGGGTACCCAGGGAGATGAGATGCTTTGCGCCTGGTAAGGTAGAACGAGACTGGACACCGGGTGGTCAATAGAGCAACCTTTGGAAAATGACTTGTGCTTGAAAAAATCATGTTGATTCTTGGCGTTGGTCCATTCTTGTGCTGCTAATTTCACTGATTTCCAAGGCATTTCAGTATAGGCCGGAAAGCCAAGGAAGAAAGACAATCCTAGAAAAACCCTTCAAAAATCTTTAGGATGAGAGGAAGGTGAGGACAATACAAAGCAGGGCGGAGTGGAGGAGAAAGCAGAACAGAGCTTTGGAGGAGGTGAGGTACTTGAGAAGGAAATATTTAAAAGGACTTCCAGAGTAGTGCATAATTAAGAATCGCTGTTTTAACTGTCGGAGTGCTGATTCCCTGGTTCTCTTTTTTGTTTGAGAGCTTAAATCCTCTCCTACGTCTCCTGCGTACACTTCAGCTTCTTCCAGGCTTCTCATAACTCTTCCTTCAGTGTTCATGTTACTCACCTTTAATAACACATCCAAAACTTTTTTTGAGAACTTCCTTGGATTTCGCCACTAAGAAAGTTTAAGAATCAAGGCTTTGACTGAAGATTGGTCGCAGAGCATGAGTTTGTAATTGGGTACTTACCTATATGACTTGTGGGTGATTTTGTTTTGAAGATGTATAATTTAACAAGTGAAATTATTATAATGTTGAATGAATTTTAATAATAACAATGTCACGAATGTTCTGATTCACTAGAAAAATCAAGGTATTTAATAACCTATGTCTTGCACTAGGTTCCTGACCTGGGAATAACTTGAATACCTGCTTTTATCAATTTTTGTCTCTGAGTGTCAAAACTTCTGAAGTTCGTGCTCTACATGCCAATGACATGTTCCCTCTTTACTGCTCCTGCAGGACAGTGCAATCTGCTGCAGACGACACTGGTATTTTTTTTAGTCAGTTAGCAGTTGGACCGAGCTGCCGCTGCTTATACGTTTTTTATTTTTGTTATGTTTCATTCTAGGCTAACTGATCTATGTTTAATACTCCAGGTTCGTGATGGAATAAAACGTTGAAGCAGTAAAGAAAGAAGTTTAGGTCTTAATTCCCATTGGATTGAAATCTTTGAGAGAGCGAGGTGGCCGGTGGTGAGCGAGGCGAGGCGCGTGGGGTCATAGGGGTCTTGCCTGTGTGTCCGTGCAGATATCGGTGTTTTTATGGGATGCGTACCTATTGAGGTGTGATAGATTACTAACATCGGTGCTGTTGAGTGTGTTCAGCTCGTGGTCTTGGTCTGAGCTCCCTCTCTGGCGCGAAAGAGATATCCTTAGGATAAATGGAAAGATCAAACTGCGGGGAGGGCGCTTGCATGTGGGGTTTGGTTTTGTTTTGTCGGTTCACATTGGGGATGGGCTTCTGGCAAAAACCTTTTTTCCACTAACAACTATAAATGTGCGCTTATCTGATGCTCTACCACATCCTGTTATTTGATTTTGTGAGTTTATTTGTGGGTAATATGCTAACAAGGATGTAGCAAAGTAATTCTGTTTTTGATGGGGAATGTGTTTGGCATGGGCAAGTCGCTCAAACGAATGATTATTAGGTTCTGTGCCTCTAATAGTTTGTTTAGAAGCTGTTTTAGGTACGGGCCCATGTAAAAGACATAGACTAGCATGCTGTAAGACAGATAAGAACAATCAAACAGGCTGACTTAGTAGCCTAGTTGATGTTTTGCCGGTGTGTGTGTGTGTGTTGATTTTTGGTGGGTGTGTGTGGTGTTGAATGTTTGCTCCCGATGCTGTGCATCGGTGTGTGAAATGGTGTAGTTGGGAGGGATTGGGAGTAGTTTCTGTTTGATGGACTTTGCCTCACTGAGTGAATGTGTGGTGAAAGGGTGAAGTGGCAACGTAGTGTAAAAGCGCTTTGAGTGGTCGGAAGATAGAAAGCGCTGTTATATCAAGACAGGTCCATTTACTAATTGGTACATAGTATGCGTGTGGTGTGTGTGGGTGTTGTGTAGTTTGTTGGGTGTTTGTGTTTGCTCAGTGCTCCTTTGCTGAATTGCTGTCTCTGTGTGAACCTCTCATGCGAAGGTGGAAGGACTGGAGGAGAGCCTAACTGACGGCTCCGTGAAGGAGGAGGATAATGATAACTGAGAGTTTCGCACACGGTCTTCAGACCTGATGTAGCATAGCAAGATGGGCCTAGTTGGTCTGGACCGTAGAACTGATAGTCTGACTACTCCTTAGGTGATTATACAGTACAAGGGGGGTAGTCTGTTTTGGAGGATCAGTTTTATTTGATGCGTTTTCCTGTTAAAGCAGACATATGATATTTTACGATCGCTACTTTTTGTCTATAGTGTGATTTTTTGGGTAGATAGCTTAAAGACTAAGCAGCAAAAGATTCCTTCTATCGGTCCTCGAATGTTGTGTTTTAATCGAGTCAGCTGATGGTGGATTAGTGCTGGATTAGAGTGAGTCTGGTCTCTGCGATCTGGCCTGGCCTGAATTCTTGTGCTGTAATTGTGATTTCTTATGCATCATTATTTTTGTTATTGGTGGTTGTCATTCAGAGAGGAGGGTCGATGGGTCAAATGTAAGTCCAGAGTTGCTGAGTGTGGGCTTATACTTCTCCAAATTCCCTTCACTGCATATTCTTTTCAGCGTCCCACTGCGAGCATAGGAGATGAATTTTAAATGAGAGCTTGTCCTCCCTTGACTTTAGATAGATTTTGTATGATCGATACTTAGTAGTTCCAATAATGAAGATATTTAGCCAGATCAGTCGATCTAATTGATTAGTCACACCTTTATAGCGTGTAATTATATTTTCATTTAATGTCTTATAGGGAGCGTGTATTTGTTTTATACTGAGTGCGGGTTCCTGTTGTATATTTTATCGGAAACAGTAAAGGCGGTAAATATTGATTGTGAATGTGTCAGAACAACCAAGCAAAGGACACTGAACAGGGTTAACCATTCACACCCCAGTCTGCCTTGTTCAACAACGAATAAAACACACAAAACACGCTCCTCTTCCTCGTTTCATTCCTTCTCCTGTCGCACATGCCAGAACCCGCTTGTACTTCATCCCGCTCAGAGTCAGAGTCCTGCTGGGTCCGTGAAGCCGCCTCGGAACATCGCTGGCCTCTGTTTCTGGTCTCTGTCGCTCATTTCTGGCAGCCGCTCCTTTGGCAGTAATTCCCGTCGGTCCGCCCGGTTCGTCCTGAGCGAGAACGTCCCCCGTGTCCCGAGCTTCCATTTCCGGGTTTACCTAGTCAGCTAATAGGAGCAGCGTTCTTAAACTGAGGGTACGGCAGCAGCTACAGTCGCAGTTAGCATACTGCAACAGCGACGGCGGACCTAACAGACTTCCTTCTGGCTTTCACACAAGGATCTGAGGTCTGTGATGGTCATACCAGGCCCTCTCGCTCGTAGGTCCCAGTGACAAGGCGCAGCTCCTGAACAGAGTTTAACATCGTTCATGTTTTTCTGCAACTATCAGACTGATGAAAAGTACGTTGACTAAGACTCTTCTCAGCAACTAGCAGTTAAGAAGACAGTCAGGGGGCAGCTGAACAGATCCAACACAGCAGAGGTGAGAGCGTCTATTCCCTGTGTGGAGTACTGTAACAGGGCTGCTTTCATTTCCCTCTGGAGCCACCCTGTACATAATACATGCACTCACAGTGCTGTGAGATGCTTCAGATACACGCTTCTATCAGATAACACAGTTGTTGATGCGTGTACTCTGAGCACCACTGCTGCCTGAGAAAATATAATAGTGGTTGTAGGCAGGAATGCATCAATAGAACAACAGACGCAGCTGTGGAGAGAGGAACATGGGAACTGAAACAAGACAAAAAGATGTGTACTCTACAGCTGACTGACAAAACACAGAGCTGGAATGAGGCTGTTATCATGCAACTAAATAGTTCAGTATATGGAACAGATGTCATCAAACACCCCACACATGTTGTAGTTGAACCATGGGCATCAATGTGCTGCTCTAACCCCCCCACCTGGCTCTTTACTTCTGACCATCACATTTACACTTCAAACATCATAAAAGTTCACATGTGAACATTATCTTGCTGAACAAAACAGGGTCTTAACCATAAAGCTCTCCAAAAGTGAAGCCTAAATCTCTTTAGTGCCCCCCAGTGGCTGACTGCAGAACATGTTAGCAGATGGGACATATAAATATATATGGCCAATAAATCAAACTACACGTCAAATAGATTTTTCCCAAAGATGGTTTCTGGTATTTTAGGTAGTTCTTATCACGCTGATATATGTTCAAGTGTTAATTTTTTTGATCAGTTTGAGTTTAATTATTATTATTATTATTATTATTAATTATTAGCTATAAAAAGGGGGGTTTCACGTTATGATTGACAGCTGAGCCCTGCTCATGATGGTGTATATGGGTGTATAGGCGGAACTTTGATGCCGCGGTACTACTGTGCATTCTCTGGCTCTAAATCATGTCACCATAGCAAGATTAGCAAGATGGCAGTGGGCGTCTCTGGATATTTTGGTTTCATTTTTGTACAGTGGGATGAAGTGGAGACACATCATCCATCTTTCTATATGTCGATTGTCTGAACTGAACAGTATCATAAACCTTTATGATTTACCATAGCCTCAGAGTTTATTTTGTGCAGTAATCCAATATCCAATGGAAAAATCACATTGCCTTTTTGCTGAAGGAACCAGGGCAATGTGAACTTCCTGGTTGGCCTCCAGAAATACGGCATCCCTGCAGCACTCAATTGTCAGGTTGGAACAGGAGCAGGACAAACACAGACTGCTGACAGAGAGTTGGGAGAACAATGTTGTCTAAAGCCGTCTGAACTGCTACCGTTATCCCTGCTGTTGTTTCACTCCTGATCTGTGCCTCGTGGTCTCACCATCAGATCCGAGCTCTTGATAAGATGACAGTGGAGCGAGTGTCGGCAGAGAGGAGCGAGTGTCTACAGAGGATCGAGCAGCGGGCCCTGCAGGAGAGGCTGGAGGCAGAGAAGAGACAGGTAATACTAGCAACCAGCACAGTGAGTCTGAAGTCATCACTGGTCCATCCATAACCCTGTCCACACAGCAGCACATTTTACAGTTTACAGTGCTGTGGGAACGTTGTGTAGCTATACATTTATTGTAGGTATGACTTTGGTTTGAGATCTATACCTGCTGTGTTTGCTTTTCACTCTAGTAAATTCATGTAGAGAAGTAAATAAAGAGGCTGTACAGAAGTAGAGCTTGGTTTCGTGCTGCGCTTGGCTGTTCTCACCATAGCTCATTTTTCCACAGCGGTCTCAGGGGAGCAGAAAACCTCAGTGATCTTTTATGTACAACAGTGTGACGTGATGTAGAAATTTTGCCTTAAACTTTTGTCAGCAGCTGCTCCTCTCAATAAAGGTTCCATAAAGTCATAGAACCCCTTCTGTGTGGTGTTATGTGCCCTTCAAGCAGGCGTCCCTGGTCAGTGAGCTGAAGAGCTGGTGTCTGTCCAAGCTGCAGAACATGGAGGTCCGCTTCACCGGAGACCCCAGCAGCAGCACCAAGCTGCAGCGCTCCTCCTCTGTGGCCGAGGGCCTGAATGAAACCGAGGGAGCCAGCCTCACCGTGCTGTCCTCTGCCCAGGCTGGCAGCTCCCAGTGCCTGGAGCTCCACGACAGCCCCGTCCTCCTGGACGGGGGCCGGGGGGAGGCCACTGTGGCAGAGTGCGGCTCGGCCAACCACTACTTTGTGGTTCACGTGGAGAGCTCTCCAGGTAACGCCTCACCAACCACAAGCTCTCAGAGGGACTCAAATCTTCATTTATTCCACATCAAACAGCCTGGAAATGAATGCTAAAATATACAGGTATTTTAGGACCATATTAAATGCCATTTAATACATATTTTATCTCCAAACTGGCTAAAAAGAATGAAGGAAAATTGGTAGTAGAATCTTTAAAGCCTAAAATTCAGATTATTGGATTTTTTAGACACCCTGCTCTCAAAAATATCAGTAGTTAAATAATAGCAATTATTAAATGCGTGATAATTATAAAAATAAAATGGGAAAAACAGGTGTTTTTTGTGCAGATAATTAACAATTATCTCAACCAATTAGTAATAAAATATAAAAGTATAGTTGAGTAAACTCTAACAATTATCAGACAAATGTTTTATTAAGTAATTTAATAATAATTTTGGCCTGAATAACTAGAGGCCGACCAATAGGGACTATTTACACTGAGACTGAATTAATCAATGATATGGTGGCTGAATTTCTGAGCTGAAATCAAAATTTGAACTGTCTCAAAATGACTCAAAGGCACTCAGCAGGCTGCTTTCTTAAACAAATGACTTTATTATAGAATATTTCAGTTGAATATAATTTAACATACATTCTAAATCAATTCTAGCTGACACTGCTCAGAGCGGCTTCCTTCTTTAGTGAACACAGGCGTATGTGATTAACAGTGCATGAGCTGTTTATTTAGAATAACATTGCTGGCAGAGAGAACCATCTGAATGACAGATACTGTACTGGGTTCTGACTGAATGTCTTCTGAACACCGAACAGATGGTGATAAGGCTCAGACTGCAGAAGTCACCTCTCCTGCAACAGCCAAGAGCCCGCTGTCATCAGTCCAGGTGGTTAGGCCGAAGGAGCGTTCGGTCATCTCCATCGACACCCAGAAGAAGAACCAGGACCAGCAGGGTGTGGAGCACGGGGCGAGGGCGGGCAGGAATCACAGAGCCAGCAGCCTGTCTCCGGCCACAGAGCGCCGCTGCAGCAGCAGGACTGAAGCCGGCCTCAGAGACAGGGAGCGAGGGCGGGACAGAGGGAAGCACCATAAGAAGCATTCCCAGGGCAGGACTAAGTCCAGGGGGGCCACAGGGGTCAGGACTCTAGAGGTGTTTGGAGACCAGCCCAGTGAGCCCTCCTTTGCTCAGGAGAGGGACAACATGCACGCTCTGGAGGTGACCCAGTACTTCTTTGAGGCGGTGTCGACGCAGATGGAGCGCTGGTACGAGAGGAAGGTGCAGGAGGCTCGCTGGCAGGCCAATCAGAGGGCTCAGGCTGACAGGGCCGCTCTGGTCGAGAGGATCACTTATCTGGAGGACGAGCTGCGCATGTTGAGGACAAACAGACATGATGACTGCTAACACACGTCACTATCAAGCTACGTGAGATTAGATTTGGAATGACCAATGTGCTCTGCTGGCCACACCAGGGTTCTGCAGGCTGAGTGGATGTTCTCTAGTGGATGTTAGCTGTACTTTAACTCCAGTGTCTTAGTCACAGTGTTTACAATCCACTGACATGGACAGTAAGAGGTGATGCAGCACTCTGCAAACTGGCTTTACATACATAAAAAAAACCTTCAAAACCTGCCCCTTTTTCACCTGTACTTTGATATGCTACGTGCTACGCTAGAAAAGACAACCTCATTTTGAATATGGTGACATACAGGCACATCTTAAGTTAGTTAATGTTAGCTTGCATTCTGCTAAAATTAGCTAACTTAAAGCAGCTCGAGGCAACTTTTATAAAACTGACTTTTTGTCATATTTGCTCAGGGAAAGATCAAAAGATGCTTTGTGTTGGAAGCTTAAAGATAATTGGTTAGTAGAAAGTTGATAGAGTCTCATTCCCAGGGTCCCAAAGTGTCATCTTTTTTGGCTCCGATTGGTCGTTTTCGTTCAGGCCCGGTAGATTCTTGCAAATGCCATAAGGAGCACTAAGAGGAGCCAGAGGAACCTGATTTTCTTCAGATTATTTGTCTGATGTACTACTGTCAGGATATAATGAAAGTTTCCTTCTGCAGATTTAAGATGTGACTGTCTCTTTAAACCATCTTCAAAATGTGGTTGTCTTTTCATCATAGAAGAGTCTAGCAGCTAGCTAGCGGGAGCACAGAGCAAAAGTGGGCAGGTCAGTTGTATCTGTTCTTCCTGTTTTTGAATATTACAGTTGACACTAGAGCTGCAACAATTAGTCAATTCATCAATGTAAGGATTCTGCTTTTCTCCTTTTATATCATTTTCACTATTTAAGTTTTACAGACAAAACAATTAATGGAGAAAATAATCAGCAGATGATGAATTGGAGTGAACTTGATTATTGGTTGCAGCCCTAGTCAACACCTGTGGAGTTCTTTCTCTGCCTCATTCCTGAGTGAGCAATGGAACATTTGGAACACAGAAAAATCTATTTCCAAGCAAAGGCTAATTTAGTTTGAGCAAACAAATCTATTCTGTACTCACTAAATGTTTTGGCAGTGTGTTTGTCACTCAACACAGCACAGCGTTACCACAAAATCAACCGACTGGAAAACTTCTGATTGGTTGTTTCTTCTCCAATAACAATGCTTCAATAAGAAAACAAACATTTCTGCCAATAATACAAGATACCGACTGCAAATGTGTTTTAATTGAGTTGTAGTTAAACAAACTCACTCTAGAGAGTTATCATTTTTTCATAATGCTTCCATTATGAAAAAATGCTGGAGAAATAGTAGGGATTTAATTGGAGACAAAACAGGCAATCAGAATTTACCTTTTGCAGTTCTCCAATTGGTTGATTTTGTGGCACACTGTGATGCTGTCCCAGGCGCACTGATGTGCTAGACGGGTTATTATTGCACGTTAATATGGATAACATACAACAGATCTTTATTTGCTCAAACAAAACTTATTTTTCCTTGCTTAGAATTTCTCTTCAAAATACAATTAGTGCTTCCAAAATAGATTTTTCTGTGCTCCAAATCTTCCATTGCTGGTTCAGGAATGAGGCTCAAATGTAACACCATGAGAGGATTAGGGCCACATGAGAAAAACATTTAGTTCGAAGTTTAAAGTTAAAAAAATAGTCAGAACTCAAATGTTTGACATCCCCCACAGCCCCAATCCTCTTCTGTAGACGACCTATAATCTCCCAGAATGCCGATGCCCTATAGAGGAGCATCCTGACACTTTGCATGAAGAAAGCTCAGTGTTGTGGTGCAGTGTTAGTGGCTGTCTGCTCATATGTGCTTAGGTTTCCTTATGAATAACGCACTCTGTATGATGGAATGTTGTATATAAAAATTGATCATTTAACATCTGTCTGTGCTTTCATTAACTCTGTCCTGCCAAACAACTTTTAATACACTGCGTTGTTCACCTGCAGTCCACATCAGTCCACAGCAGCTGACGTATTTAACTCCTGGCCAACGCCAGAGACTTCTGCAGCTCCTCTAGATGGTTGTTAGCCTGTGTGATCATCATACGGATGGCATCCTGACAGAATAACAAGAGGGAAAATGAATACAATGCCTCGACACAGTCCATACATTGACTTTAAGAAAATCAATTGTAACTCAAGGATCATATAATACAGAGCCTGAATGCTGATATTGTGGCCGGTACAGTGAACTGTGCACCGATATGACCATTATAGAATATTTCAGTTGAACATGTTCAATCATTTATCAACCAGTTCAAGCTGACATCACTGAGAGCTGCTTCTTCTCTCTTACTGTGCTGCTTGCCACAGCATGTAAATCACAGCGCACTCCGCTGGAGAAACTTGGCAGTGACACAGATATATTATTATATAATGATTATATATTGAGCACAAGCATGGTTTTCTGCATTATATACTGGGAAAATAAAAGTTTTCATATTGATAATATAAACACGGATGCAGATATGTGTGATAGGCTGATAAAATCAATAATAATGAATAATAATGTTTTCAATGTCTGCTGACTCAAAGGAAATAGGCTGTGGGCAGAAGCCTGCCATTAGCCTACAATTAGGAAAGTGCAATAATTATCAGCTGATCATGAGAACTGTATATGCCTGATTGATCCAATAATGAAATTACAATCATTGTCCATAATAATTTTGAATTCTGAACCAAAACAACTTCATAGAGCATAAAGCATGCTTGTAAGTTCTTTTCCTTGCTATGTTATATTGAATATATATGTTATATTGGCTCTTTGCAACACTACAGTACTGCATGTTTGTCACATTTGACCTTTTATGAAAATATTTGCAGTTTCTGCCATTTGGATAATATGAATTAATATATTTGGAAAGTAAAATGGCTGCCATGAGGTGTTTTTGTGATGGCTTTCTTCCTGAAAGCTGTGTGGCCACTGTGGTATGAGTATACATATATAAGTTTCATGCTTTTATGACAAAGTGAACAGATCTGTGATCAGAGCTCAAACTTGGTACCTACCACCTGGAGCTTCACCTCTCACAGTACCTTTGCACTCATAAAGGCCACATAGAAAAGGTCAGTATCTGTCTCATATCTCTATCTATCTGTTCCATGGTTTTTCCTCCATTCCCAAACTTCCAACTTTCCAGACATGAACATAAACTAATTTCACTTAGTTTTCTTCACAGAAATGAAGGAATGCGGAGATGAAATATATCTACTGTGTATATTTTCCTACACCCCTTAAAATGAAGAAGGCCTCGAGACCCCCAGGCTGGGAACCACTGCTCTAACCAACAGATGTGAGACAGTTCAAAGGGAGCACACATTCACACCCTCTCTGTACCTGGTCTGTGGCGGTCTTATTCCTCTTGAACTCGGCGCTTGCCCAGTCTCTGAGGTACTTCCTGTCTCCCTCGTCTGGTACCTGGCGTATTGTCCTCAGCATAGTTCTGTAGATCCCCAAAATCTTCTGTCTCTGTAAAAACTGACCCAGGATCAGCAGGTTAGACTCAACGGAGAAGAGAGTATTCACATCCAGTACATGCTGTGTGGACTTTCCAAAATAACAACTCAATCAGCTGAATGTCCACCTACTGAAGGCAACAGACAGCTGCAGACAGCTGCAGA